GCAACTGAATCCATGGGAGCTATTAAGATCAACAAATGAAATAGTATAGAGGGAGAAGAAAAAAAGGCCCAGGACGGAGCCCTATGCTACACTCACAGTTAATGGGGATAGACTTAAATGAAGATCCAGCGAAGGAGACTGATAAGGAGTGGTTATCTATATCTTTCTATAATTTCATGAAAATATAGAGAAAAGAGAAAAGGGTGATCAACAATGTCAAAGGCTGAAGAGAGGTTCAAGAAGCATGATAATTAAGAAAAGGTCATTAGATTTGGCAATTAAGAGATCATTAACTATGGAAGAAGCAGTGTTGGTTGAAGGATGAGGTCAGTAGCCAAACTAAAGAATTAAGAGGAGAATGAGAAGAAAAGTGTGGAGGAATTCAATGTATATGTCCTTCTCAAGGAGTTTAAACCACAAAAGAGAGGAAAGATATGAGACAATAACTGGTTGATTAATTAATAAACTGAGGGGTTTTTTTAAGGGTGGGGGAATATATGGCCATATTTGTAGGCATTAAGGAAGTAACCAGTACACAGGGGGATATTGAAGATAAGTAAGGGAGTGGGGATGATAAAAGGTACAATCTGCTGAAGTACTGTGTGAATGCTTTACTCAGACCCAACCCAAGATCAGTAATTTGCAGAGCTCAGACCAGAAGAGCGTTAATCAGAATTTGCCCTGGGTTGGACCACTTTGGGAACGCAGAAAACTTGCAGGTCCCAGCCTGTCCCTGAGATGTTGGAATAATAAAATACTCAGTATTCCAAGAAAAAAAAAAAAAAACAAAGATCAGCAGCATGATTAGCCCAGGCCTTCCCTCCAGAAGTGCATCTATAACATCAAGTCCACATTCAGAAAATGGGCTCTGAGAATGGTACTTTATTTGGCCTCATGGATGAAGTTAAAGCAAACACTTGGGTGTAGGAATTTAAAGGAAATTGGACTCAGCAAGCTGGTACAAACAAGAGCTTTATTCTTATGTTGTGTAGTATGCAGACAAAAGAAAGCATACACACACATATACACACTATATGACAATATAAAAAGTCGGGGATTTATCTCAACAGAAGCAAGAAACTCACCCAGTGCAAGAGAGATGTGTTTGGGAGAAAACATGCTCCAAGTGGATATTCAAGTGGTGAAGTTATATACCCTAAAAATGGGCTTGGTGAAGAATAGGTATTTGGGGTCTCAGAGACAGATGTGAAAGGAGGCATTCTTAATTAGATGCAGATGTGGTGAAGAAGATCTTGGGGTCATTTATCAATACTAGGTTTGGTTGAATCTCAGGTAGGAGGAATTTCATTATCAGAATATCAGATATTAGGAGAGGTTCTAAATTACTATGTGTGGCAGCAGAAGAGGAATAGCTCAGAGAATACTACAGTCGGCAAGTCTTATTTTTTCAAAAGTTCCTAACATTAACTGCTTGAAACAGAGTTAACATAGGTTAGGACAGTGGAAAAGTGCAATTCTGCATGTCTTTATGCTTTATGGGCAGCAAAACCACTTAGCCTAAGCGACTGCATATTAGAGTCCTATCATTATAACTATAACATTAAACAATATAAAGCTTACCATTTTCACAAATAAGCAAAGAAAAAAAAAGTAACTCCACTATAATGAGCTATCATGGAGGCAAGGGATGCTCAAGATGCAAACATGGAGGACAATAACTCCGAAACATTAACAATCATTGTCTAAGAGAAAAACACAGCTTGGGTTCAAATTCAACTAGAATTTCTGGAAGATATGAAGCAAGAGTGTTTTTTAAAGAGATAAAAATTATTTTTATGAATAGAATGAGACCTTTGAGGAAAAAAATGAAAAAGCAATGAGAACTGTGGAAGAAACAATTGAAAAGGAAATTAATTTCTTGACACAATAAGTTTAAACTTTTCCCAAGCAAAGCTCTCTGCAAATTTGAATGGACTAAGTAGAAGTCAAAGACCCAACAAGAAACATTAAATCAAAGTCAAAAAACTGGAAAAAAAAATAAAACCAGAAGAAAATATAAGATATTTCATCACAAAAACAACTGATTTGGACAACTTAATCAAGAAGAAAAAATTAAGAATCATTATATTATCTGAATGTCTTGACCATAAAAGAACTGACATCATATTTCAAGAAAACTTAAAAAATCAAATTGCCTAGAGAAAGCATAGCCAAGATAATGAAGTAGAGGGAACACGGTAGCAGAACTCTCCCACATTTACCTCCAAACAGCTTTAAAATAATGTGTCAAATAGAATTCTGTAACAGCATAGCCAACAAAAAGTCAGTGTGAGACATTTTCCCATCCCAGGACTCACATGTACAAAAATATTTATAGCAGTTCTTTTTGTGGTGGTAAATAATTGGAAATTGAGGGGATGCCCATCAATTGGGTAATGGTTGAACAAGTTGTGGGATAGGAATGTAATGAAATACTATTGTTCTGTAAGAAACGATGAGCAGGCATATCTCAGAAAAACCTATAAAGACTTAAGTGAACTGTTTTTTTTATTTCTTGTGGTTTTTCCCTTTTATTCTGATTCTTCTTTTACAAAATAACTAATGTGGAAATGTGTTTAATATGTTTTTTACATGTATCAGATTGCTTGCCATCTTGGGGAGGAGAAAGGGGAAAGGGAGGGGGAAAAATTGGTATTCAAATCTTACAGAAGTGAATCTTGAAAACTGTCTTTGCTTGTAATATGAAAAAAATAAAATACTATTAAGTAGGAAAAAATAAATAAAATATTAAAAAAAGAAAAGAAAAAAAGAAAATGACTCTTAAAAAAATTGGTCATGTATTGAAGATAAAAATAGTAGAAAACCATTCTGACATCTTTTCATCTCCTTGGACCATTATAACCAAAATCTGGAGATTCCAGGTCCAAGCATCCAGAAAGAAAGAATTCAAGTACTGAAAAGCCACAGTCAGGATCACACACAGCTCAGCAGCCACCACAACAAAAGAGCAGAGAATTTAGAATGTGATATTCCATAAAGCAAATGATATGGGCTTATAGCTCAGAATATCTTACCCAGCAAAACTGAGTACAATTCTACAGGGAAAAAAATGAACCTTTAAAGAAATGGATGAGAACTGTGGAAGAAAGAATTGAAAAGGATTCTAAGCATTCCTGATAAAAAAGACCAGACCTATAGAGAAACTACAAAGTTCAAACATAGGATTGAAGAGAAATATATAAAAAAAAGTTTCCCTGGATGAACAATGATAAAGGATTAAACAAGAATAAATTGTTTACTTTCAAATATGGGGAAAACATACATATGTCTTCTCTGAAAACTTTCACCATTAGGATTCATAGTGGGAGTCCAAGTAGAGAAGTCCTGGGAGTAGTTCTATTTTGTAAATAAAGAATGGAAAAAGAAAAAAAAGAGCAATACCCTGTGGTTTGGGAATCTGGAAAAAGAAAGTTAGGATAAATTATGATACATTATCAGTGTGCACAAGTAGACAACTCTACAAATAAGGAAGGGGGTGGTAGAAGCGGCTGTTCAAAAGAAAGAAGAATAGGTACATTCACGGAAGTGGGTACGGAAACGTATCTCAATCAATTGGCAAATAGGAAGGAAAGGAAAGAGGAGGAAAGAAGGAATAAGATGGAGGGTACATTAAGGGAGGAGTTAGTTTTAAGCAATATTTATAGCTCTTTTTGAGGTGGCAAAGAATTGGAATCTAGGAGGGTGCCTATAAATTGGAGAATGGATGAACAAGTTATGGTACATGAATATGATAGAAATCTATTTTCCTTAACTCTTATCTGCATAATGACCAAACAGGATTCCAGAGGAAAATTATGAAATGTACTACTTACCTCCTAATGGAGAGATGAAAGACTCAAAAAGTAGAATAAGACAACTATTTTTTGACATGGCCAATGTGGAAATTTGCTTTGATTGACTATACATGTTTGTAATGGGTTTTGTTTTTCTTGTGTTCTAAATTGGGGTAGAGAGTTGGGGTGGGAGGGTAAAAAGGAAGATCTTGGATGATTAAAATAAATAAAATATTTTTAAATGTATGATAGAATGGTTAGCTTCTTCCGATGTGTAAGTTTCATCATCTGTAAAATAGAATTGTGATGATATTTGTACTGTGTACCTTACAGGGTTGTTGTGAAGAAAGTCCTTATAAATGTCAAATTTCACATTTTATATTAAAGTAAACTATTATTTATTTTCATTTTAACTACCTGTTTCATGCTGAGGAGCTGCCATATCAATAAGCCCACTACAAAGACAAGAAAATCATCTTTGAAAAAATTAACTAAAATTCAGATTCCATTTTTCTCCCTGGAAATAGTGTGTGGAAATTGCCTTTAAAGCAGTTTAGTTTGTGGAAAGAGGAGTATGGCTTCATGAATAAAATGCTGAAGAATTGGAAAGTTTCTCTTTTGTCCCTAAATTGCTTGGGCAGATTTTGGTCATTTGCTAGCCATACAGGAACTATCTCAAATCGCTGCTGTAAGGACTGAATATATGTTATGTGATTTTGTGATTCTATATATCTTAAGTGACATGTATGAATGACTTTGACATATACCATCATCATGCTGTTAGCAGATTTAAAGGTTATAATAAATGGACTTTGAACAAATTATTACTGGAGATATTATGAAGAGATAACATCAAAATTTCTACAAGAAGAAGTTATTGCCTTTGTGAATTCCCCTTTTAAGTTTTTATTATAGAAGAAATGACTCTTAGTGGTGAGGGATTTGAAAGTTTTTAACTTAATTTCAACAGATATTTAACAAAATCATTTAAATATGACAGGTCTGTGAGCACAATTCTCTACTATGTGCCTATACTGAATAATATTTTTGAAAGGTTAAGTATAAACTGTAGTAAAAAAAAAAAACACTCACTGCATTTCAAATGTCTTTTCTTTTTTTTTAATTCCTTGTAAAAGAATGGTACAGAAGTCTATCAGATAGCATAGGAACAGAGACATAGCATTATATTCTTCCCTCTCCCTGCAGATCTAATGCCTTTGAAGTGCTAGCGCTGGATGGAGTCAGTACGGGCATCATTCAGTTTTATACATCCCAGGAGAGTGCTGACTGGCTAAGAGCAGTATCAGCTAACATTGGTGATTTGACACTTCAAAATGTATGTATATACATTTTCCCAACCTTGCTACTTTTGCATTGTCATATTCAATCATTCACAGGAGCAATATTGTCATTAATTAGTCTTTAGTCAACTTACTGTATTTCAGAGCCTTCCTAAAATACCTATAAAACTTATGAATGAAAAAGTCATCCCAATTTTTCAACTATTGATTACTTTGCAGTTGCCTTATATCTTTTTATACTTTATACCTTCACATCAATTGCCTCATTTGATCCCCACAAAATGCTATGAAGTAGTCAGTGTAAGTATCATTATCCTCATTTAAAGAAACTGGACAGAGGTAAGGGACAGTAGTAACTTAGGACTAAAGCCCAGTTCTTCTGATTTCTCATTTAGTGTCTTTTAGTGTAGTACACTACACTACTGAAACCCATTTGCAAACATTCAGATGAAGGACATTTTTACTATCTACCCAGATACTGTGTAATTTTATAAACATTAATTATGAGACAACATGATACTATAGTTAGAGGACTCAATTTCAAATCAGGAAACCTGAGTTTGAATTTGGACTCTGACTCTGAGTGGCTGTATGAGAAGCTTTCCAGGATCCACAGTGAAAGTTTCCTCAGAAAACAAATCTTAGAAGCAAAACAAACAAAACTCTGCCTTGCAGTTATGAATGCTTGGTTTGCTTTTTGTGAATTAGTTTTTGATACATGAACACTTCTAGACTCTAGACATTTAGGGAACTTCAGTGTTTATAATACATATTTGTACTATATTTTTTAAAAATCTATTGATCAATAAACATTTATTAAGTATCTACTACATACCAGGCACTGTGTTGAGTGCTAAGGATAAGAATACAAAAAAAATCACCTCTCAAGGAGCTTACATTCTAACAGCAGAGATAAAGTTTATGTAGATGCATATATGTATGTGTGTATGTGTTTGTATACATACCTAAAATGTACATACACATAAACATGTACATATAGTTACACACAAACATGTGCATATGTGTACACATAAATTTGGAGTGGTGGATATGTGTGTATATATGTATGTGTGTGTGTGTCTGTGTGTCTGTGTGTGGCTCTGGATGTCCCCCATGACTGAAATGCTGTCCGTCCTCTATTCTGACTACTGACCTCCTTGGCTTCCTTTAAGTCTCACGTAGAATCCCACTTCTACAGGAAGCTTTCCCCAACCCCTCTTAATTCCAGTGCCTTCCTTCTTTTAATTATTTCTCATTTATCATATATATAACTTGCTTTGTATATATTTGTTCTCCATGCTATTATCCATAGTAGATTGTAAGCTCTTTAAGGGAAGAGACTGTCTTTCACCTCTTTTTGTGTCCCCAGTCCTTAGCCTTACCCTGTTCCATTAGGTACATCCTGCTTGGAATTGCTCTTTCTTGGTTCTGACCAACATATCAAGACCTCTGTTTTCCTCTCCTTTCTCTTTAATTGTGCCACATCTTAGGATCATAGGAAAGTAATAATAATAGGCAGCATTTAAATATTATATTAAGGTTAACAAAGCCTTTATGTATGCTAACTTACTTGAGCCTCACAGCAACCCTAGGATAAAGGTATTATTGTTATCCCCATTTTACAGATAAAGAAACTGAGACCTAAGCAAGTTATATGACTTGCCCAGAGTCACACAGATAGTAAGTGTCTGAGGCAGTTTAACTCAGGTCTTCTTGACTAAAAGTCTCATTCTGTACATGTGCTGCATAGCTGCCAAGGATCTTAGCTGTAGACCTGAAAAAGATATTAAAGGCCATCTTGTCCAAGCTCCCATTTTACAGAACAGGGACTGAGGCCAAGAGAGGTTAAGTGACTTGCCCAATGTGACATAAGTAATATTTAGCAGAGTCAGGATTTGAACCCAGGTCTTCTGTCTACAAATCTAACATTCTTTCCCATGCACACTCTTTATGATCCTGTCCTTTGATGACACTTTTGTCTTCTAAAGAGGTATTCTGGAGAACTAATGGTTTAATACTCAAAGGAACAATATTGGTAGGAATTGAAAATTATGGAAGTTTGTTGGAGGCCATCATTTGGGATGGATATATTTTGTTTTGTTTTTAAACACACTAAAAGTTCAGTTCTGACTCAGCCCAAGGGTGACCCTAAGCAGCTTAATACCCATCAAGAGATTGAGTTCTCCAACTGTTTTCAGCCCAGTGTATTCTCTCACACCTTAGTTTCTCTTGGCTGAATCTTCCCCAAAGTTAAAAAAAAAAATACACTGAAATACTCTTGGAATCAGGAAGTTAATATGATATTCTAATCTACAGATGTGAAATTGGTCTTTCTCTCAAGTAAATAGGCCACTGCAACCTCCATTATATCATTCATTCTAGAATATGATATTTTGGACTCTAAAGCCTTTTAGAGGATATGAAGAAACAAAAACAGGTTGTGACACCTGGATAACATTTACCAAAATGCAATTGCCAAGGAGAGACCTTCAACTTGAACTGACTTTGAGCATATTGCTCTTTCAAAAGCAGATTCTACAGTAGAATTGGGTTTTTTTCTTTAGAAATAAAATCCCTATAATCTTAATTTAAAAAAACAATATTAATAATAACGGTAACAACAAACACATTTGTTTCCTTACGGTTTACAAATCACACTCCTTATAACATCCATGTGAAATAATAAAGCTCAAAAGGACAGCTTTGGAGTAGCAAATAAATGACCTCAAATTCAGAAAGACATGCTTTCAAGTCATTCCTCTGACACATACTAGCCGTATGACTTTGAGCAAACCACTGACCCTCTCAGTGCTCTAGACAATTTTGAGACAGTAATTTGCAGAGGAGGTGCCAATTTGCATTGATAGGGTGAGTTTCTTCATCTGAGAGTCCCCCATATCAGTAAAATCATAGGTCCAACACATATCTTTAAAGCTCAAAGGATTTATTTTTCAACAAATGCATGTTACATAAATTTAACGTTAAGCATACTTTTAAAAACTATTTTGTTTTGAATAAATGTGTATATGTAGATGGATAGAATCCCCAAATGTGTGTTTGGTTCAATGTATTGCCCATTCTAGGATCCTTAATGTGAAACAAGTATGCTTTAGATAAATACTTTTTTACAACCTATCAGTAATAGGATCAAAGAGTTTGATAGCTGAAAGGAGCAGTTGATACCCTCCATAAGCCCACATCTTCTCCTCTCACCTACTTTATAGATAAATAACCTTCAGGCAGACCCAAGAGGTGAAATTCACACAAGTAGCAAAAGGAAGAAGTAAACTTGAACTCAAGACTTCTGAATCTAAATTCAGCCTCCCTGATATACCTCTATAAGTGTTACATGCTGATAGGCCTTTATATTTTCTTAATGCATCTTCCTTTAGATTATTTGATAGAATCATGGAGTAGTACAGCTAAAAGGGACTAAGAAGAAACTAGAGAAGTAAAATTATTTTTTTCACAACATTGATTGATTACAATAACCCTGGGAGTCAGGTGGTTCCAGTGCAGTTATCCTATTTAATAATGGTGGCAGAGGAATCTTTGGATCTGTAGTTTCATTCAGATTGAACTTCTGCTTTCTTAAGAGTCTCTTAATTACATTTTTATAGCTGTTCTAATTATCAGAATTGTTTGAATAAATTTATGACAACTTGTTGAATAGTTCTATGGTTTAAAAAGAAATATACCACACAAAAAACTTTGTCCAAGGGCATTTTGTGTTTCTAACTAATTTCAGCTGCCAAATAGACAGCTTGAAAAATTATAGCATTAACATTCTTGTTAAACTGACTCTTTACTTCTTTCTCCAGATGAAAATGGCAAATAAATGCTGTTCTCCTTGTGACCAGGTAGGATTTTTATTTATCATTTTAATAGTGGGATAGATCTCTATATGCTAAAACTTTTCTCACTTTTAAAGGTATATTATGTACGTAAAATGGGAAGCCACTGCAGTGTAAAAGACTTTAGCCTAGTGGTAAAGACTTCCTTTTAACATTGATTTGGGTATTCATTTGTAATGCAACCAATTTGTTGGAAATGCCTTAAACTGTTTTTCTATTTTGTTTGGAAAATGAGAATACAATAAAACTTCATTCTGTCATGGACATTAAGGCCACATCACTTATAAGACTGCATCAAAACAAGACTTTCTTAGTAGTAAAACCCTTTTATATATGATGTTCAGAAAACAAAAATACTTTGCCTAAAGCAGCATGTAAATGTCTGTTGTTGTTGCTGCTGTTTTTCTTTCTTTTTTTTGTTTTCTATTTTCTCCTGTGGTGGAGGGACAGGGGGAGGGGTAGGACTGGACCTGTAATTTCATTAACATAGTGTATGTTCTTCCTGTGAGGAACTCTTTCCATTTATGCCCAACTCATTTGGAATTTATAGTTGTAGTGAATTGCCTAGGGCATTGAGAGATTTAGTGACTTGCTCAGAATGAAACTAGTAGCATATGTCAGAGGCAAGACTTAAACCTAGTTCTTCCTGTCTCCAAAACACATCATCTGTCACCTATGCTGTACTGCCTATCATCATCATCTTCATCATCACTGTTGAGTTAGATCAAATTTAAGCCTATAGTAGTATGTTCTAAATCAAGACTATTGTGAAGAGTTTGCTGTAAGAAGAAGGAAGTTAGTTTATGAGTTTATAAAGCACCTAGTTCTGTTAGAAATTGTGTTTTGTCTTATGAAACCTGCATTGTTTCTCTTTATTATAGCAAGGAAGCTGTTCTCAGACTTTGATTGGTCAGAAGACAAGGCTTCTTTGTCATCAATGACATGAGCCCAACCCATAGGAAATTGATTCTTCTTAGGTTTGGCAAAGTTTCCATTACCTTATGAGATATGTTACTGACCCAGCTTTTTTGCCTGACCAATGCAGAGATAGAAGGGAACAATGTCTACTTTTTTAACAAATTTTATCGTTTTAATATTAATGTCAGTAATTTTAAATTGAATTTTATAGTTCATAAATATTTTATTGTGTTGTAGACCTGAAGCTGAGTCCCTAGACTGGTCTGAGCTAGGTCTGGTCCAGAACATTCATCTTTAAAAAGAATAATAGATAACTTAATGTGCAGGAATATATTTTCTAGAATTATATAAGTAACAGGAATATAAAAAAGTTTCCTGATGCATATGTCTGACCATGTCACTCTCCTGTTCAGAAATTTCAGTGTCTACCTATTAGCTTTATCATAATTTTGTTTTTAAAGCCCTCTACAATCTGGCTTCAGTATCTTCTCTCTTTCCTTTCACGTTTTTCTTCCTTAAATACTCTATGTTTGAGGAAAATCATCCCCATGCTTTTCATTCATGCAAGTCAGTCAGTCAGTCAATAGTCAACAAGCAGTTATGACATACTCTATGCTAAGTGCTGGGGATGCAAAGAAAGGCAAAAATATTTTCCTTTCCTTCAAAGATCCCAAATTTTAGTGGGAGGCTGTCTACTATGCTTGAATTGCATTGGCTCCTTGGCTCTGTATTTCACAATTCCTATCTTCCTTGAAAGTTCAGTAGAGGCGTCACTTCCTCCATGTAGCCTCCATCATTTTTCCTTGGCTGAAAGTGTTCCCTCCCTCTTGGAATTTTCCTACAACACTTGGTCTCTCCTCTGTCATTATCATTCCTGACTTTGTGTTATACTTATCTGTGTATTATCATAGCTCCTCCAGTTGAATGTAATCTCCTTGAGGGAAGGGACTATCATTTTTAAATGTATAACCATTGTCTTGCATGGTACCTTATATGTAGAAAGCACTTAAAAATGCTTTTTGATCATTAAATTTAACTTCTGTTATATCAGTGCTGGGAATAGAATAATCACCTCATAAATATTATTATGTATTATACCAGGCATTATTTGTTCATAGTTGTGTTCAGAGAGTAAAGAAACAGGATGGCTTCACCAATAATATAATCTGAATATATCATGATAATTATAATATGTAATATGTAATTATAATAATTTTCATTATAATGCTTTATATTGTTTACTTGAGCTTTATTTCAAATGACATTGCATGATGTTATTTGTTTAATATAAATTCCTATTCTAATGCTTCATCATGGTGTATAATGATGCTGACCTCCTGAAGATTATATTAGTGGATGCAAGCTCTGTTGAGATTTATCATGCTAGAAAGACTTCTAGTACAGGTCCAGTGATGATGGACTAGCCTTTTTGTCTCATAGAACAGTGGTGTCAAACTCAAATAGAGACAGGGGCCACTAAAATGTGCATAAGGATCCCTGTAGGCATATTAACATTATCCATGTTTTATTATATTTTTATTTGTTTTGTTAAATATTTTCTAATTACACTTTAATCTATTCAGTCATTCTTGGAAATGTTGTGCACCATATGCTTGATACCTCTGTCCTAGAAAAGTGCTAATGCCAATCAGTAAAAATTAGTCATCAAAAATAAATAAATAAACAAAAATTAGTATAAACTTTGTTTTGTTTTAATAACAATGCTCTTAAATTCTCTGCCAAGACTAGATAAATCACTACTGCAACCTACTCTTCTGAAGTCAAAGATACTTGAAATATAGAATAATTAATGATTATGCATCATGAAATTATCTAATTATTTTAATGGAATCATCATGAATGAAAAAAAATCCTTTATTTTATTGATGTAGATGTTTTCCCACCCATGTAGATTGTAAAATTTCCACTATTTATTATACATACTTACATGCTTGTGTAGCCCCCACAATATGTCATCTAGTGGCCTGCCATCTAACTGGTGAGATCCTCCCAAGTTATCTTGGCTTGTCTTAGGTGACAGAGACATAATTCATCAGATATGAGTGTTTTTCCTAAAGCATAGGTTTCCCTATGTCTCTATTCCCACCACAACCCAACTCACATACCCTATTTCTCAACAAATTCCTGTAGCTCCCTGTTACTTTCACAATCAAATATAAAGACCTTCACTTGACTTTTGAAGAGAACATCTTCTTAACCTGGGTGCTTACTACCTATCTAGTCTTCATAACCATTTTACCTCCCACCCCCAACATACTCTACTATCCAGGTACACTGGCCTACTTGTCATTCTTTATATACAGCTCTCCATTTCCCACTTCTGTGCCTTTGCATTGGCTGTCCCCTATGATCCCACCTTCACTTTTTAGGTTCCCTGACTTCATCAAGACTCATATCCAATCCCACTTTCTATAGATCTTCCCCAATCCTAGGGCAGCTAGTGCCTTCCCCTCTGAGATTGCTTTCCATCTACTCTTTATCTCTTGTATGTAACTATTTATTTACATGTTGTCTCCCTGATTAGAGTGTGGTCTCCTTGAGTGTATGAACTGTTTTTTTTTTTTTGCCTTTCTCTGTATTTCCAGTGCTTCACTTGTCACAAAATTAGTACTTAATAAATGCATGTTAATTACATAATTGATGACTGCTCCTCATCTCATCACTCTTTCTCAGTCTCATTTCCTGGCTTCTCATCTATACTATGTCAGCCATGATGTCTCTTCAAGAGACTTCATACATTCAACATGTTCACAACTGAACTCATTATTTTCCCTCTAAAACCTTAACTTCTTTCAAACTTCTCATTTTGTTGAAGATACATCTAGTTCTTCAGGTTTATAACTTAAGCCTTATCCTGGATTTGTCACTATCTCTTACCCCATATAGCCAATCAGTTGCCAAATATTTCTATTTTTAATTTCATATTGGTATCTCATATCCATGCCCTTTACTCTACTGATAAGATGAACTTCAGTTAGAAATTTCATCACCTCCTGCCTAGGTCAATAAAACAATGCCCTAATTGTTTTACCTGTCTCAAGTCTCTGCCTACTCTGTTCTATCTTCCACAAAGCTGCCAAGGTGATTACTCTTAATATGACTCCCCTACTCCATCAACCCTAGTGGCTTCCTGGTTCCTATTTGGTGCTTAGCCCTGGCACGTAGTAGGTGCTTAATGAATATTTACTGATTACTTACCATTTCCTCTAGGGCCAAATATAAATTCCTCTGTTTTGTTTTTAAATCCTTTCACAATCTGGGTCCCATGGCCCTGTTCAGTCTCATCAGATATTATTCCCTCTCTAACATTCTGTGATCCAGGAAAAGTGACCTTCTTTACATTCCTCACATAAGACACTTGATATCCTGCCTCAAATGAGATAATATTTGCAAAGCACTTAACATAGTACCTAGAACATAGTAAGTGCATGATGAATACTTATTCCTTTTCCCTTCCCTTTTATGCCTTTGCATTAGCCATCCTCCAGGCATGAAATGTACCACTTTTCTTATCTCCAACTAATAGAGTATCTCTCTTCAATGAAATAATACTTCAATTTAACAAACATTTATTAAACACCAATTATATGCCAGGCATTGTGCTAAGTGCTGCAGAAACAAATTAGAAAAAGAAATACAGTCCTTGCCCTCAAAGAGCTAAAAATAAAAAAAAAAACATTGTAAGCTTTAGAATCTAATGGGGGATAGCAACCCTCAAAAGGAAGCTGGAAAGGTGGAAAAGGGACCACCCAGGCACCTGGCCCCCCAAGCATTATGGTTCATAGGTTTCAAACCAAGCAGAACAGTAGATGGAAAGTGTATAGTTATCTGGAAAGTCCAGGTCCCAGTCTGTTTTAAATGAAAGCTTTGGAAGGAGTTTAGTGCTCCATCCTCCAGCCCTCCAATCAAGAGGAGGGAATGCTGAAGGAGTTGGGAAGATGCTGAGTATCAGTTAACTGCATGATGAGATTTTAGGTAAGCAGCTTATCCTGGGTGGGGCATCATGTCCAAAGAGTTCAAACCAAGCAGAGCTCCAGATGGAAAGTGAGAATTCTTCTGTTTCATCT